GGCTCATTTCCCAAATGATTCTAGATTCTATCAAGTTGATAATCAAAACTAGCCCTATTAAAGAGACATAGGACATTAATGAAGGTCCTATCTAATGTTTCTGTTCAGAAATTGTTTACTTGATGTTTGGTTTGCTAGACAGCCTCTTATTTCTAGGGTCCCAGTTGAGCTTTATGAAGTTATGATTGTTCACATGTTGAGGCTTACCACTTTTGCCCCAGGGAAGATCACCTTTCCCCACTGGCAAGTCACCTGGTGAGGCTTGCTGAGCTTGGCTGTATTTTCAGCAGAGAACTAGAGTAAGGAATAGTCTTTTTGGCAGTCTACCTCTTGATATTCTGAAGTAGCTCTTGTTGCAACGAAAGGAATAAAAGCAAAGTTTGACCTAGAAAAAGAAGTTGTCCTAATTTTGAGAAATCTAAAAATTGCTCATTTATTTGAAAGAAATGGAATCCTCCACCCCCCAAAAAACTTTTCTTTGTCACGTCTCTGTGTTATTAAAGAGGTTTATTTATTTATCTATCGTTTACAACTTGATTTGATTTGATTTTACTACAGTCTGTGTAATCTGTCCTGGAACTCACTTTGTAGACTGGCCTTAAAGTCACAGAGATCCGCCTGTCTCTGCCTCTGAGTGCTGTTGTGCCACCATGCTTGGCTCATTTTTTGTTCTGTTTTTCAAGACAGGGTTTCACTGTGTAGCTGATTGTCCTGGAACTCACTCTGTACACCATGCTGGTTTCAAACCCAGAGATCCATCTGCCTCTGCCTCCCAAGTGCTGGGATTAAAGGTGTATGCCACCTCTGACTGGCAATACTTATTAAAGGTTTTTTTAAAAATATCTTTCTTTTGTTTTAATAATTATATATTTTCTAGCAGTAGCCCTTTTCTTATTACTCTTTCTTTGTTATTGTTTATAATTTTGTATTATATGGCATGCATGTATAGCATATGGTCTCATGTATACATGCATGAGCCTGTGTGTGCTCACATGTATGGGAGCCAGAAGAAATTGGATGTTTTTCTGTATATCACTCTCTGCCTTATTCCTTTGCGACAGGGTCTTTCACTGATCCTGAAGGTGGGCTGGTGGCCAGCAAGCCCTAGTGATTTTCCTGCCTCTCCCCATTCTCCAGCACTGCTTGTAGGCATGTAGCCACACCTGGCTTTTTATATGGGTGCTGGGATCTGAACTTAGGTCCTCATGCAGACAGTGCCCTTGCCCACTGAGCCATCTTTTCCAGCTCCGTCTTAGTATTTTTAGGATATTTAATATACTTGGCTAACTTAGATAATCAGTTCCTTCTGTTTTATTGGTCGATTGATTGATTTTGGTTTTTCAAGACAGGGTTTCTCTGTAGCTTTGGAGCCTGTTCTGGAAGTAGCTCTTGTAGACCAGGCTGGTCTTGAATTTACAGAGATTCGCCTGCCTCTGCCTCCTGAGTACTGAGATTAAAGGTGTGCACCACCGCCACCCAGTTTAGTTTTTATTTTTTAATTTTTATGTGTATAGATGTTTTGCCATGGGTGTCGAGTTTTCTGGAACTGTAATTACAGACATTTGTGAGCTGCCATGTCAGTACTGGGAATTGAACCCAGATCCTCTGGAAGAGCAGTCAGTGCTCTTAACCACTGAGCCATCCCTTTTTATTTATTTTTATGATCATTGTTGCTTAAATTATTTGGATAATTTTAAATAGCTAGTTTTAAAGATAAGCCTTGAAGTGACCAATGGTTAAAGTCCTTTTCTGCTACTTTAAAACTCCATAAATAGGGCTGATGAGATGGTTTAGTGGATAAAGGCACCTGCTGCCAAAACTGACGACTTGAACTTTATTCCCAGAGCTGGTGTGGTGAAAGGAGAGAACTGATGTTTTTTATAAGTTATCTTTTGAGTTCCCCACACTCAATGAACAGACAAATAGTAAAAAGGCAAAGGGGATGTGATGTCACAGGTCTTGAATCCCAGGAGCCTGTAAACCCAGCACTGTGAGGCAGAAGTAGGCATATCTCTGTGAGTCAAAGACAGCTAGGATTACATAGAAAGACCCTGCCTCAAAACAACAAAATTAGAACAAACAAAAAAGTTAAAGTGTGTGTGTGGGGACTCTTTAGAAGATATTTTCCTTAGAGCCCTGGCTGGTAGCAGAGGCCTGTAGTCCAACTACTGGGGAGGCTTAAGGCAGGAGGATCTTGGTTTCAAGGTCAATCTGGAAAACTTTTTTAGTGCGACCCTGTCTCAAAGTCAACGTTTTTATTTTTATTTTTTATTTATTTATTTATTTATTATGTATACAACATTCCTTCCATGTATGCTTGCATGCCAGAAGATGGCACCAGATCTCACTATAGATGGTTGTGAGCCACCATGTGGTTGCTGGGAACTCAGGACTTCTGGAAAAGAAGTCAGTGCTCTTAACTTCTGAGCCATCTCTCCAGCCCCAAGTCAAAGTTTTTAAAGGGGTAAGAATGTACCTTAGTGAGAGTTCACTTGCCTAGGGTGTTTGAAGCCCTAACTAAATTCAATCGTCAGTACCACCAAAAATTAAAAAAAAAAAAAAAAAAAGACTACCTCTGAATATTATGATCTGGCTGTTAAATAATATAGGCTCCCTCGATTTCTGGTCTGAAATCTTATTAATTTAAGACATAGTTCAAATTAGATTCCTTTATTCATCTATTGTGGGATAATGCCTGTACCCTGTAAAGATTTGTCACTTGTATTGGTTTAATAAAATGGTGGTTCATCAGTAGATAGGAAGGAAGTATAGGCAGGGCTACCAGACTAGGAGAATTCTGGGAAGAGGAAAGGCTGAGTCTGCAGTCACCACCCAGATGTAGAGGAAGCAAGATGAAAATGCTGCACTGAGCTGGGCAGTGGTGGCGTGTGCTTTTAATCCCAGCAATTAGGGAGACAGAGGCAGATGGATCTCTGTGAGTTCAAGGCCAGCCTTGTCTACAGAGTGAGTTCCAGGACAGCCAGAGATACACAGAGAAACCCTTTCTCGAAAAACAAAAAACAAAACAACAAAAAAAGAAAATGTTACAATGGGAAAAGTTACCCAGCCACATGGCTAAACATATATAAGAATTATGGATTAATTTAAGTTGTAAGAACTAGTTAATAATGAGCCTAAGCTAATAAGCCAAACAGCTTATAAGCCTCTGTGTGTTTCTTTGGGGCCAGGCAGGACAGAAACCTCCGTCTACAATCGTGTATTCTTTTCATCATTTGTTTTTGGGGATAGGTGTAGACCATGCTGACTTTGAGCTTACTGTGTACCTCAGGCTGGCCTCAAACTCTGATTCTCCCAAGTGTTGGAATTACAGGTAGGAGCCACCATGCTTGGCTTGGATATGGTTTTCCAGTTTGTTTGACCCTCTATTTTGTTTAAGAAAAAAAAAAAATCACTCACAGGTATGCCCGCCCAGATGTAGTCAAGTTGACAACCAAGAGTTGTCACCATAAGTCTACCACTTGTCAACTTAACACAATCATATCTCCTTATGTCATGCTTAATTTCCAAATAAAAACAATCAGGTCATAATTACATCTAACATGTTATAACTATTCTACATAGAATCACAAAATACATTATATATTTAACCAGGTTATTATTACATGTAACATGATAGAACTATCTATCCCTCCTGAAACAGCAAACACTTCTATCTTAGTCATTGTTCTGTTGCACGAAGAGCCACCATAACCACAACTCTTATAAAAAGAAAGAATTAGGGCTTGCTTAGGTTTCAGAGGCTTAGTTCATTGTCGTCATGGTGGGGAGCATGGCAGCATGCAGAGAGACATGGTGTTGGAGAAGGAGCTGAGAGTTCTACATCTGGATCTGCAGACGGGAAGGAGGGAGGAAGAGAGGGAGGGAAGGAAGTGGGGAAGAGACACTGGGCCTGGCTGGAGCTTCTGAAACCTCAAAGCCTACCCCCAGTGATATACTTCCTTCAACAAGGCCACACCTCCTAATCCTTCTAATCCTATCAAAGAGTTCCCCTACCTGGTGACTAAGCATTCAAATATATGAGTCTATGAGAGTCATTCTTAATTAAAGCACCACACCTAGTGTCAGGAAGAAATGGGGCCTGTAAAGTGGTTCAGTGGGTAAAGGTGCTTGCTCTGTAAACCAAGGACCAGGTTCGATCCCTGGAACCAACATAAAGGTGGAAAGAAAGAAGCAGCTGCACAAAGTTGTCCTCTGACCTCCACAAGTGTGGCAGGTGCCCCTCCATCATGCATGCGTGCAGCTGTACACATATACACTAACTGTAAATGCTGTTTAAATCCAGGTAGAGTGGGAAAGGGGGGTATAGCTTATCTGAAATAACCTCCTTTTAAACTCTTCATAGATGACCACTGTCTTTCTTTAGCTCAGTGATATCCAGGTGGTTTGAGCTGTGCAGTGCAGCGCTTGTTACACAAGGGATATACATGGATGTGACACACTGTTCTAGGCTGCAGCCAGCTGATTATGCAGCACTCTCTCTTGCTGGTCACCCTTTGCACTCACTGCAGATGCTCTTCTATCTTTACCAGATTTTTACCTTTGGACAGAGAATTCACTCACTGGGTGTTCTTGCTAGTTTGCTTTGATTATTCTTCCCCCTCCCTTCTTGTCCTCTTCCTTTTTACTCTCCAAGCCTAGGCCAGACCCCTTTTTTCTTCAGCCCTTTTCTAATCATTGCTTCTCTAACATCTATTGTGTTGATTTTAGCATCTGTTGAGGAAAGGGGGGAAACCAGGCTATTTGTTATTCAAGTAAATCTTTAGCTAGTTAAAAATTATGTTTTAAATGTCACCAGATGTAAATGGTAAAGCAATCTGTTGACCAGAAAAACAAAAAAGAAAAGTAAAAGAAGTAATGAAAGCATGTTACTCTGGGCACGTTTGGAACAGTGACTGAGTCCAGTCCTTTACTGCCTCAATAAATATGTTGAATGGTACAGATTACCTAACTCCACTAATGGTTGCCTTTTTCCTCTTTAGATCATGGCTGCTGTTCCTCTGAACAATCTACAGGAGCAACTGCAGCGCCACTCAGCCAGAAAACTTAATAATAAATTGAATCTTACAAAACCCAAATCTTCGTAAGTATATTTATTAGCATGTGGACAATAACTCGTGTCATACAAATGGAGCTCTTGTCTCTCAGCTCTGTCTAAAGGAGGATCCTATCTATATCTCCCAGTGGCCTAGAACTTACTGTGGTTCAGGCTAGCTTCCCTCACACCTGCAGCAGCCTGCCCTAGCCTCCTGTGTGCTAGGACCCTCTCCACACCTGCTTCTTTCGGCTCGGCCATTTTACAGAGGAGGTGAGGGGCTCGTTGGTTTTCTAACTTTGCACATTGCTAGCAGAGCGTATTCAGGCAGATCTGGGTAGTGATTGCTCTGCAGCTTTACACGGCTCCTGGCACATACTTACTTATTCAGCAAAGTTGGATGAACAAGTAATGAATTTTCTTGAAAATATGAGCAGATATTATACTTGAATATAATCTCATATGATCTGCCAAACTTTGTAGGGAAATGACCACTTTTGTTCTGATGTCTCCTGCAAGCTATATCCCAAGTTTCTAATGGCGCCTAATAATAATTTGTATTTGTTGTGCCCCTAGGGTGCAGGCACTGCTCCAGGTGCACCATGACCTTCGTGCCATTAATTTCAGCACCTAGCCAGGACTCCTGCCTCCCCTATGTCCTTCAGATCTCAGCAGTTTCTTTGCTTTCTTTCTTTTTTAACTCTTTTGTCTCTTAAAAAAAATATATTTTTTATCAGAATAACTAAAGCCAGTTAGAGTACCAACCTTTTTTTTTTCTTCCCACACAGTCTGTCTCTTCCTTCTGAAGGTGTTATTAAGGATTGGCAGCCTGAAAAATAAAGTGTGGGCCTGGCCTAGGAACTCTGAGCCTCAGTAGTTAGCCTCTGAATGGGAAGGATCAGAGAAGCCAGATGCATTTGTTACCTGGGAAAATTTCAAAGCCACAGAGGGAGATGGATTCTGTGCTTATTTGTAATAAAACTAATGCAATTTGCATTTGAAAATATGCTTTATAGGTGAGTGAGTTAAGTAAAATGGAAATGGATCTATCTAGGGGCTGGGATTGTAGCTTATGTTAGAACACTTAGCATAAATGAGGCCCTGGGTTCAGTCCCCAGCATCAGAAACAAATGAATTAATCTAATTTCAGCTTTGTCATTGTTTTTCAGAGGTTTTACTTTTAAAAAGAAAACATCAGAGGGCGATGTGTCTGTAACCAGTGTGTCAGTGGTAAAAACCCCCGCGCTAAGTGATAAAGATGTGAATGTGTCTGAGGCCTTTCCAGTCACGGAGCCTCTGCTGCACACACCAAAGCAGCAGCCTGGGACTGGTGACTCCTTCAAAAACTCCCCAGGAGGACAGCAAACCAAGGGGCCCTGTCCTGAACCGCCACTGCTGGACTTGGCACAGACTCCTCAGGAAGTCTCAGCTATAAAAACCCCAGCTGTAAAGAAACCCCACATTGCTGTTTTCAAGAAATTAGAATTTAGTTCTTCACCAGAGTCCCTCAATGACTGGGCTGATATGGATGACTTTGATATTTCAGCATCCGATGCATTTGTTTCTCGGACCAAAAATCCTGCCGTAAGAGCAAGCACCGCTCAGAAATCAAAAAAGACTAAGAGAAACTTTTTTAAACCACTATCTCATAAAGCAAGTACAGTAAAGGCTTATTTGACACCTTCCCCGGAAAACCCACAAGTGGATTTAACCAAGGACCAGAAGGATGAGTCAGAATGCCTGAGCAGTGATGTGATTGTCATCGACAATGACCCTTGTTCTGAAGAGCTCATGAAGAAAGATACTCAGGAAAGTCAGTCTTTGGAAGCTCATTTGGGAGCTGAAAAAGGTAGCCATCATCTCATCTTCATTTCAGTATGTTTACAGTACTTTTTTAACTGAAAGCTAAGCATTGGGAACAGTGGAAAGCAGGTTTGTTCTTTTTTTTTTTTATTTTTTATTTTTTTTAATTTATTTATTTATTAAGGATTTCTGCCTCGTCCCCACAACCGCTTCCCATTTCCCTCCCCCTCCCCCCGATCAAGTCCCCCTCCCTCATCTGCTCGAAGAGCAATCAGGGTTCCCTGACCTGTGGGAAGCCCAAGGACTGCCCACCTCTATCCAGGTCTCGTACGGTGAGCATTCAAACTGCCTAGGCTCCCACAAAGCCAGTACGTGCAGTAGGATCAAAAACCCACTGCAATTGTTCTTGAATTCTCTTGAGGGTCTTAATATCTGCTATGTCGGGGTTAGCTCTGTGGTTTTATACATGAAGAAAGTAAGGTCTGCATTAATGGTAATATCTAATCATTCTGTTTATTACAGTCACGTATCACTTAGTGACAAGGATATGTTTTGTTTTTTTTTAATTTGTTATGTGTACAGTGTTCTGCCTGCATGTACAGCTGCAGGCCAGAAGAAGGCACCAGATCTCATTACAGATGGTTGTGAGCCACCATGTGGTTGCTGGGAATTGAACTCAAGACCTTTGGAAGAACAGTCAGTGATCTTAACCTCTGAGCCATCTCTCCAGCTCAAAGGATATGTTCTGAAAACACATTATGCCATGTCATCTTGCCAGTACCATAGTGCACTTTAACCTAGATGGCAGAGCCTACTTTACACCTAGGCTATATGGTTTGCCTCTTGATCAGAGGCTCCAAAAACATACGTCTGTGAATACTGTAGGTGTTTGTACACAACGGAATATATCTGTGTATCCAAACATTTCTAAGTATGCAAAAAGTGGGGGCTGGAGAGATGGCTCAGCGGTTAAGAGCATTGCCTGCTCTTCCAAAGGTCCTGAGTTCAATTCCCAGCAACCACATGGTGGCTGACAACCATCTGTAATGAGGTCTGGTGCCCTCTTCAGGCTTGCACCCAGAGAGAATATTGTATGCATAATAAATAAATAAATAAATATTTAAAAAAAAATAAGTATGCAAAAAGTATAGTAAATATAAATATTGTACTGAATAGAGTACATACCACGAATGGAGCTGAGAACAAGAAGCTTTTCTGAGCGAGTGGAAGTGAATGTGGAGGCATAGGATGTTGCTATCCATTTCCGTACATTGTAAACACTGCACTTAGCTTAGAGCAAATTCATTAAACATTTACACTTCCTCAATAATTACTTTTAGCTTGTTGTTATTTTTTTTTTTTGATTTTTCGAGACAGGGTTTCTCTGTAGCTTTATAGCCTGTCCTGGAACTAGCTCTTGTAGACCAGGCTGGCCTCGAACTCACAGAGATCCGCCTGCCTCTGCCTCCTGAGTGCTGGGATTAAAGGCGTGCGCCACCACCGCCCGGCTTCATTGTAATTTTTAAGCTTTAATTTTTGTAGTCATGTTTACCTTAAATAATAAAAAAAATTTGATTATAGAACTATGCAAAATATTACCCAGCTCACTAGGCAGTGCAACCCCTGGGCTGATAGTGCTGGGTGCTATAAGAAAACAGGATGGGCAAGCTAATAAACAGTGTTCCATGGCCTCTGCAACAATTCTTGCCTCCTAATCCCAGCACTCGGGAGGCAGAGGCAGGCGGATCTCTGTGAGTTCGAGACCAGCCTGGTCTACAAGAGCTAGTTCCAGGACAGGCTCCAAAACCACAGAGAAACCCTGTCTCGAAAAACCAAAAAAAAAACAAAAACAAAAAACAATTCTTGCCTCCAGATTCCTTCTGAGTCTCTACTCTGACTACCTGGATAGTGGAGAACATGATGAAAAAAACCTTTCCTCCCTAAATTGCTTTTGGTCATGGTGTTTTATCACAGCAATAGAAACCATAACTAAGAAATAATGTGTATGAGTGTTTTACCTGATTTTGTGTGTGTATGTATGCATTGTGTGTGTGCTTTGTGCCTTCAAAGACCAGAAGGCGTCAGATCCCTCGGAATTGGAGTTACAGATGGTTATAAGCCATCTTATGGGTGCTGGGAACCCAACCCAAATCCTGTGCATGAATTGCAAGTATTTTAAAGTTGTTAAGCCATCTCTTCAGTCCCTGCTCTTGATTCTTGCTACTCCTTCCTCAGTCTCCTGAGTGTTGAAATTAAGGTTATAAGATACCAGACCCATTTCATCCTTTGCTTTTCCTTTCTTTCTTTCCCTGTCCTTTTTCTCCCTCACTCTTTTCTCTCCCTCCCTCCCTTCCATCTTCCATTTCTTTACCAATGTTCTTTTAAACTGGGACATGAACATTAACTTAACACAGGGTCAAGATCGTGAGCATCGTTGCCTTCTCCCATCACATCTCTCCCCTAGAAGGTCTTTAGGGGTCTATAACAGGAAATAATTCTCATCTTCTGTGCATTCTGTTTGTTTTGCCTGCATCTGTGTGAGAGTGTCAGAAGTCCTGGAACTGGAGTCACATGTTAGCTGCCGTGTCGGTGTTAGGAAGTGACCCCGGGTTCTCTGGAAGAGCAGCCAGTCCTCTGATCCACTGATCTATCTCTCTAGTTCCTTGATTGTTTTCTTTTGTTTGTTTTTTGAGACGCGCTCTCTCTACATAGCCCTAGGTGTCCTGGGATTCACTAGTAGACCCAGATGACCTCCAGCTCACGGAGCGGCACCTGCCTCTGCCTTAGGAGAACTGGGGTGGAAGGCGTGCACGACCACACCTGGTTCTTCTGTGCATTCTTATAGAATATCACTTATTCTTTGGTTTTGTTTGAGACAGATCTCACTGTATTGCCCTGTCTGACCAGCAGCTCACTTGCCTCTGTCTCCTAGGAGCCACTACACCCAGTTTAGAACACCTCTTGAAAGGCCTATATGAGAATATTCTCCAGTAGATGGAATGCATTGGTAAATATATGCTCAATATAATATACTGTAAGTAATTATATTACCAGACAGAAGAGTAGGGCATTGCACTATTATTATTATATATATTTTTTTGTTTGATTTTTTTTTTGTTTTTGTTTTTTTGTTTTTTAAGACAGAGTTTCTCTGTGAAATAATCCTGGCTGTCCTGGAACTCACTCAGGCTGGCCTTAAGCTCACTGACTTTAAAATTCTTTTAAGAGTTGGGTCTTGCTTTGTGTTCAGACTTGTCCTGATCTCCTGGACTCAAGGTATTACCACCACCACTCTTCCCTTATATTTTAGGAATTGAATCTAGGAATGTGCGTAGTAGATAAACACTATCACTGACATATATTCTCAGCTTTTTATTTACTGTTTATTTGTGACAGGATCTCACCACATTCTCTACATACACCTTAAGCTTGCAGTCTTCCTAGCCTAGCCTTATAGACCATTCTTCTGCCTCAGCCTCCTTAGCAGCTTAGACCGCAGGTACATGCAACATCCTGAGACTAAAATTGTAAACACCAGTTCTATTAAAATTGCTATACAATGAGAAAGTGCTGAAAAGTAATTGATTTAAAAAAAGAAAACAGCAAAACTCAAGTTTAATCTCCTGTGTTGCTGTTTCTCAAGAGAATACTAAGTGGATGGTAAACGGCAAAACCAGAGAGCACCAGAGAGATGCTTCTATAGCTAAACACCTCTGTGGTGGAGATGGTTTGTCTGTATAGCAGCAGTGTGTGTGCCAGCTCTGGGTGTATGCCACGCCTGTGATCTTGGATGAGGACGTGAGGCTGGAAGATAAAGAGTTCAAAAATGTAGGCTGTATAGCAAGACCCTGTCTCAAAACAAGCCCACAGTGTTTGTGCTGCTGCAAATTACTGAAGTGAAACAAGAGTTTCGTAATTTAACTAGAAATAGGTCTTGAATTCCTAAGCAGATCTCTGGCTTTAGTCCAGCTTTGGACTTCTTCCAGTTGATTCCCTTATTCGTGAAGAAATCAGCCAACATTAACCTGCAGGAGACTCCCATACAAAATGTTCTGATTGTTTCTGACTTGCCCAAAAAAAAGCCTTCATAAGAGCTCATGCATGTTCTGTCTCGTTAATTATTAAAATAATCTGTGTTTACCAACTCTTTTTCTTTAGATAATAGTGAAAAGAAGAATCACGTAGACGAAGTTCATTTACAGTCAACTGAGAAACCTCTATACTTTCAACTTGATGATGATGACTATGATATAGATTTTGTTCCACCTTCTCCCGAAGAAGAAATTATTTCTACAGCTTCTTCCTCTTTGAAATGTTCCAGGTAAAATAGTTAATAATAAATATTATTGTTTGTTTTTAAGATGCCTTAAGTATATAGCTTAGGTATATAATATCATTTCTATGTAAGTATTCTTTGTGCTTCTGTGATTTATTTTGTATTCAAATGAAAGTGTCCAGAACATTGCTATTATTTATTTGGTTGTTTAGAAACCATTCTTTGCTGGGCTTGGTGAGTCATGTCTTTAGTCCCAGCACTGGGAGGCAGTGCAGAAAAATCTCTGTATTTGAGACTAGCCTGGTCTACACAGTGAAACTCTTCAAAGACAAAAACAAGAACAAAACTCTTACTGTGTTACTCAGGCTGGCCTTGAGTTCAGGATCCTCCTGCCTTAGTCTCCCAAGTACCAAGATTACAGGTGGGAGCTATCATAATTGGAGGGAAACAGGGGGGGCTACTATTTTATTTTACTGGTCATATTTTAAAGACCTGCATTGGTGTTTTGCCTGCATGGATATCTGTGTAAGGATGCCAGATCTCTTGGAACTGGAGTTACAGACAATTATGAGCTGCCATATGCGTATGGGAATTGAACCCTGGTTCACTGGAAGAGCAGCCAGTGCTCTTAACTGCTGAGCCATTTCTCCAGCCCCGTTTAAGTCACTGTTTTGACAGAAACAGATCCCTGTAGTCTATCATCTTGATTAGGAAGAGAAGGAAATGTTTTATATGTAATTTCTGGTTTGTGCTTTAAAATTTTTATTATTAGACTTACTCATTTATGATGTGTGTTTTGCCTGCGTTTAAATATATGCACTACCATGTATGCTTTGTGCCCAAGGAGATCAGAATGGGGTATCAGATCTTCTGGAACTGGAGTTATGGGTGGTTGTAAACCATCATGTGAGTGCTAGGAGCTCAACCTGGAATCTCCTCAAGAGCAACAAATGCCCTTAAGCTCTGAGCTTTGTCTCCAGCGCCTGGCTTGTGCTATAACAGCTGTATTGTGATGTCTGAGGAAGTGGTGAAGGTTGAAGTATGATTACTGTTCGCTACAAAACTGAAGAGCCGTACCCGCTCACCTGTCTCCTCCTTTCCTTACAGACAAAGAACCAGACCAGCATAGAAAGTTAACCACTGGAGTGAAAGGTCACGTGTGCCAAGACTCTAAGTTGGTGTTCTCTAACAGCTGAGGCCAGGGAGGAGCAGGAACTCACCAGGGTCAAACAGTTCATAGCATGTGGGCTAAGATCCAGTGTGGCGCTCTCTTCTTACCCTTCTGTTTCCATGTTGAATGCTTAGCTTTATTCTTTATTAAATATATGTATTGCACAAATGACATTGTAGCCACCTTAACTAGAATTTTAATTAAGTGGGAAGAAATATTTTTAGTTCTAAAACCCTAGCAAACTATTTCTTGTTTTTGCTTGGTTCATGTTGTGACTGATAACAGGTATAATTTCAGACTTTGATTCTTTTCTCTTAGCATTATTCTCCATATTGTTGCTTTTAAAATGTGTCCTTTCCTAACTTACTGAGTTCTTCTGCCATGGGTACCTTTGCATAGCATGTCACTTTGCTTATGCTGTGACAGACACTGTGTGAAGAAGGATTTGCTTTGGCTTGCAGTTTCAGAGGGTGCGATCCAGCATGGTAGGGCAGGCATGTGGAGCAGGAGCGTATGATGTTCACTCTCCTAGGGTGGTGGATCAGGATGTAAAAATGAAACTGGAAGTAAGGCTAGCCAAATTCTCAAGATCCACCTCTGGTGACCTCTATCTGCCAGCTAGGCCCTACATCCCAGGAATTTCTACAACCTCTCAAAACAGTGTTGCCAGGTGTTCAAACATGAATCTTTCATACCCAAAGCATAATATTTAGATTTTTAGCAATTGGAAATGATTATTTACAAGGTTGATTATTTTTCCATTATCGCCTAATGTGAATAACTGTATATATTTATTGTGTCTTAATTAGGAATTTTATTGCTGTGAAGAGACACCATGATCAAGGCGATGCTTATAAAGGAAAACATTGAATTGGGGCTGGCTTTCAGTTCAGAGGTTTAGTCCATTATCATTATGGTGGGGAACATGGCAGCATGCAGGCAGACATGGTGCTGGAGAGGTAGCTGAGAGTTCTACATCTAGGTCGAAAGACAGAAAGACTGGGCCCGGTTTGAGCTTCTGAAACCTCAAAGCCTACCCCTAATGATACACTTCCTCTAACAAAGCACACTTGCTAATAGTGCCACCCCCTGATATGAGAAGAACTATTCCAAGGTAAAGCTGCTTGGAATCTCAGAAAACAGTGTCATTAATAACTGCTTTCCAGGGAGAGCAGTGAAGACATGCTTGAGACTCTAAGAACATGTATAGTTTGGGTACAGAGAGCTTGGGATCTAAGAACATGTATAGTTTGGGTACAGAGAGCTTAGGACTCTAAGAACATGTATAGTTTGGGTACAGAGAGCTTGGGATCTAAGAACATGTATAGTTTGGGTACAGAGAGCTTGGGATCTAAGAACATGTATAGTTTGGGTACAGAGAGCTTGGGATCTAAGAACATGTATAGTTTGGGTACAGAGAGCTTGGGATCTAAGAACATGTATAGATTGGGTACAGAGAGCTTGAGACTCTAAGAACATGTATAGTTTGGGTACAGAGAGCTTGGGACAGCAAGTTTTCCAAATTGAGAGAACAGAATCCATGACCCTAGACAACATAGAGCTCATGAGGCATGTCAGTGGTACAGTTTGATTGGAGTCTAGTGTAACTGAAAGGATATACTTGGAGACAGGAGTTGAAAGGGTCTCTTGGGACCAGAAGATAGAAGATGTGAGGCTTAGCTAAAGAGAGATACAAATGTGTTTCCCAGCTAGATATGCAAGACTCTAATCTCAGCAGTTGGAAGCCTTGGGCATAGAGCAAGTTCCTGGTCATCCTGTGCTTCTTGACCCTGTCTCAAAACAAACAAAAGAAAGCCTTTCCTTTGTCTGTTAAATATTTATTGAAAAAGATTGGGAGACAAGGTTTGCATTCATTCTGCCTATAGCATGATTGATTTAGCACTTTTTTTTTTCTTGTAGTATGCTAAAGGATCTTGATGACTTGGATAAAGAGAAAGGCATTCTTAGTACCTCAAAAGACCCTTTGTTGAAATCAGAGAAAACAAATACCCAGGAGCCTGATCCAGGAGCCAGTACAGACTGTGACGGTATAAAAACCATATGTTTCAGTTACTTCTATAAATATAATAATTATATTTGCATACGATAGCTGCATAGTATAAAACGGTATATGTACTATATCCTTTGATCTGATACCATAAATCATCTTACTTCATTTGTTAGCTAGTGTTTTCTTGAACATCTCCTAAACTCAGCATCTCACAAGGTTCATTCTCTTTTGAAAATGCTGCTTGTTGACTTGTTTCTCAGGTAGAGCCAAAATTCGCCTCCCTGTAAGTTTAATCTTTGTTAGATGAATTAAAAACCCGTAGAAATTTTGTGAGTTTTGTTGGTTTTGTTTGTTTTGTTTTGAGACAGGGTTTTGTTATGTAGCCCAGGCAGGCCTTGAACTCATTGCAGTTCTCCTACTTTGGCTTCTTTAGTCCTGAAATTACAGGAAGTTCCTATAAGTTTTAAACACACACACACATACACACACACACACACACGCACACACACACACACCCCTCTAAACCTGTTGAGTCCTCGTCACAGACACATTGATTTCTGTAGATCATTCAGCTCCTCCCTTGTACATATTCTGATCTGGGTCTTGTATTCATTGTAAGTTAATTATTTTTTTGCCTGCTAACTCATTCCTTTCTTCTCTTCCTTTATTGCTGGGGATTGGACCCAGGACATTTGTCTGTATCTCCAGCCCTGTTTCGGTTCTTTCTGCTTCTCTTGTTTTTTCTTTCTGCCCAAGTATCTAGTGTAAATAAGCCAATAGCTCTGGAAGACTTTGAAAAAGAGCAGTCCTTTGGAACACCTTTGATTTCAGCTTCTAGACACACATGCCAGAAATGTGTGTTTTCATTTGGGGAATTTATCTGGTAGTGGTTTTTTTTGTTTGTTTGTTTGTTTTTTGTTTTTTCTGTCTCTACTCTATCTAGAACCTATGCTATTTGGATGTTAGACACACACCCCTCTTTAATTTTCTCATCTATTTCTTATTTTTCTATGAAAAATAAGGTTATTTTAGACTAAGTCTTACTATGTAGATGGGGCTGGCTTCACACTCAGAGCTGCCTGTCTCTACCTTCTGAGTGCCAGGATAAACGGTCAGCACCACCACACCTGGCCAACTCTCTCCGTTTTATCAATAACTTTCTTTAATTGATTTTTTTTTTTATCTATTCAGCTCCTGGAAACCCAGGAGCTCTTTTCTACTCTCTGATCATGTCATGAGAATCTCCTTAGACACATCTATACTCTTCCTGTGTAGTGCATGCGCTTTCGTGTAGATAGTCTTCTCTGTTGGTTTTGTTTTCTCCAAGTTTATTGTATTTCATTTCAGTCTTTGCTTTTCTTGCTGGAAATGTTCCTAAAATATCTTTCTCTCACTCTAAGTCCTACAATACAAACTGTTTAATCTCCATCCCATCACCTTATGGTAGTTGCTCTTACCTTTTACCACAGGCACAAGGAAACTAACATACAGAAGAATTAATAATTAAATGGTTGCAGAATTAAGGCGGCAGCAGAGCTAGACTTTGAACCAGCAGCGTGGAGGCTCTTGAATTCACCCTGACAACTATGGTGCTAGTCAGCTTCTCCATCTCTAAGTTTCCCTGTTATAACGGCTGCACTTACAAGAATGTGGACAGAGTCCTTCAGTGTCACAAGAGACGTCCCTCTTAGCTGACATCAGTTAATTTGTCACCTAATTATGAACCTTTCTTCAAGATACTTCTCTTCCTTCTCCATGGAATTACAAAAGGCTAGGTTATAGGACTCCAGAAAAGTCAGTCTGAGGCAGGAAGAATGAAGGATTGAGCAAGCTGCAGACGGATCTCCTGCTCCTGACAGTGACAGCATTTCAACTAAACCTCTTTGGACCTTACTGAATTTTGGGTTTTTGTTGAATTAGGGTCTAATGCTATAGCCTAAGCAGCTTCTAACTCATAATCCTACTTCTGCTTCCTGAGACTTGGGATTATAGGCATGCAGCACCACCCTGCTCTCAGGTTTTCTTGTAGAAAATGAAGAGAATAATACCTGCCTTGCTGAATAGTTATTAGATTTCAAGTTGTACTGTAGGCCATCAGGAAATGTGAGCTATTCTTGTCTGCTAGTCTAGTAATCCTTCCAAAGAAGGAGCATTAAGATGGCTGTTTTGTTTTTAGGAACGTTCCGTAACTCCATAATTGTTTCCTCTTGGAGAGCTACAAAGCAGCGTTTTGATAGTGTGTTCTAGAGTTTTGCCTTGAGTCAACACCAAGGTCACTAGTTTGTAGCTTTTGGCAATCACTTTTTTCTTCTTTTTCTTTTTTTTTAAATCAGAACAATGTCTTCACTTTTCTTGAAAGCCTTGACCAGGTTTTTCCTTGGAGGCCGAGATGGGATGTGGTCTGTCTAGTAAGGTGCCACTGTGTAGGTATGGTATTTCTGAGCCTGCTTCAGCTTCAATTTTTTAGACCATTGTGAAATCCCTTCTTTTAAGACTGAGACTCCTTATATAGAGAACCAAAATGGCATAGGAATTCAGCAGCTCTCCAATCAATACCTCCCACCAGCGGGTATCTTTCCTGAGTCTTTCTTATGAAGATGCTTGTCCCTACGCTGTTTTGTTTTGTTTGTATTTGAGTTTTTTTGTTTTGTTTTGTTTTGGTTTTGGTTTTCAAGACAGGGTTTCTCTGTGTAACAGTCCTAGCTGTCCTGGAACTCGTTCAGTAGATCAAAGTGTCCTCTAACTCACAGAGATCCGCCTGCCTCTGCCTCCTGAATGCTGGGAATAAAGGCGTGCGCCACCACCTCCCGGCTCCCTCACTGTTTTTGTATGGCCCTGTCTTTCCTTCTTTGTCTTCTTTCTACCCCTTAAACCCATCAGCTGACTGTTTTCTTCTTAGCATTTTTTTTTGTCTGTTCTGATCCCCCTGCCTCCAGAGAGTGCTGTCTCACCAGACCCCGTGTACACTGGCATCTCCTCCTTCATACCATGTGGAGTTGAGTGGGCGTTTTGGTTTTTTTTAATTTATTTATTTATTAAAGATTTCTGTCTCTTCCCCGCCACCGCCTCCCATTTCCTTCCCGTTTTTTTTTTTTTTTTTACTTATATTGCCTCCCCAAATCATTCGCTTTCTTTCCTTCATCGGAAACATCAGCTCCTTTGAAATCCTATCTCTTGTTGTGTGGCTTGATAAAGAAGTCAGGGTGGTTTGTGAGGCAGCACACGGGCAGAGTGCTTGCTGGGCATTTGGGGTTCTGGGTTTCACCCTCATTCTTTATTTCTAATTGCTTCCTAGACAAACAGATGAGTGTACAAGAGCGACTTATTTGTGTGATGGAGCACATCTGTAAACTAGTTGATGCAGTTCCTACTGATGAACTGAAAGCTTTGAGTTGTGGGGATGAGCTGCTTCAACAACTGAACCTAAGGTATCTTGATTGTCCTCCTTGTGGGAGATAACTGATCACAGTTTCACTACTCCAAGTCAAGAAATGGCAAAATGTCCAGGCTTTCTGGCCTAGACAGAAGGATGGTAGTCACATCACTAAATTTTAAATTTATTTAATTTTCAAACCATTTGTTTAATAATTGTCTTCAAATTTTTTAGACTAGAAAAAAATGACATTTTTTCCTATAGTTTCTGTTAGGGTTAAAAATGAAAGTAAACTTTGCGGCTACTATTAACAAACTAGTCACGTTTAATATGTTCTCTTTCTTCAGAAGGAAGCTCTTGGCTGAAGCTGATTTTAACGGAAAGGGTGTCAGTATTCTGGGTTCACTGTGGAGATGCAGGCCTGAATCACCTGGTAACACTGCACAGGGCGATCCCTGCCCTGTGGGGCGTCCTACTAAGGAGTGCAGTTCTTCATCCTTTCCTTCACATTCCCTTTCCACCAAGGAATGTTTACCAACCACCACTCCAGGAAAGACAGGGTTCTTAGCCACCACGAAGGACCTCCTTGAAAGGCCGTTATTGAATTCCCATTTACAGAAGTCCTTTGTAAGTAGCAACTGGGCTGAAACACTAAGGACAGAAGAAAGAAATGAAAGCTCTTATTTCCCGGGAAATGTTCTCACCAGCACCACTGTGAAAGATCAGAACAAACACGCTGCCTTGGGAAATAACTTAGAGAGAGACGTCGAGGCTTCCTTTGATATTGATAACTTTAACATTGATGACTTTGATGATGATGATGATGATGACTGGGAAAACATAATGCACAGTATTTCCGCCAGCAAGCCCTCCACAGCTGCCTACCCACCTATCAAGGAAGGTAGGCCAGTTAAATCTCTGTCAGAGAGGATTTCCTCAGCCAAGACACAGTCTCTTCTAGTGGCATCAACTGCTCAGAAGAGTTACACTGGTAAGTCTAGAGTAAATTGGATGCTTAAATATTATGGGACAACAAAACCATCCAAAATAGGAATTGTATGGTAACAGGCCCAGCAGCAAACCATTGCCCGAAAGCAACGTTGTTTCTGCAAATTTCTACTGATGATGTGAGTTACAAATCACAGTTTGAAGAGCAAGTTGCTCCTTTGTGTCTGTAGCAGCTGTAGGTTTATAAATGTGTAATTAAAACTATTGTAGTAGAGCTCTGAAGTCATCACCGCGCGCTTTGCCTTCAGACTAGCATCTTCTAGTCCCTAAAACAAGGCGCACAAGTGCCAGATTCTTAGTGATGGGGGAAGGCCAAGTAGAAAAGTGAATTCATATGCTCGAAATATGCATAGTTTTAGAATTCTGGATGATGAGAAGTAATTCATTTATAAAGTAGAAAACTGTGTCATGTCTCACAGCATTAAAATGTGAGGCATCATAAGAAGGATATGAAATCTGAAATTCAGCAAATATAAATTAATCATGGTGGGTCTCACCTGTAATACCAACACTTGGGAGGCTAAGGTAGGAGGAAGACAGTGAGTTTGAGGCTGGCCTGGACTATAAAGTGAGACCTTGTCTCAGAACAGATGTCTCTTAAAAGCTCAGAAAAGGCTTACGATGTGTCATGTCCTGAGTTGGGCTCTGGGAAGATTTCAGAGACACTGTATTGGAGCTACAGTTTAATGAGGAATGAACTAAGCTACTGCAGAAGCTCGGGAAAGCCTAAATAAATGTGGAGCCTTATGTCAGCCCTGTAAAGTTATCTCAGAGTGCTTTTACTGAAACAAGAATGCGTGTGCAAAGTTTTAGGAAGTACAACCCTCCCTATTTTTACCATTGATGACTTAATAGCTCCAAGTTTGTTCTTACAGTGATGCAGCTGACCTTTAAAATAGCCACTAATGGATTTATTTTGGTATGCTAGAATGTGTCACACTTGATGTTTGCAATTATCTCTGAGACAGTTGAGTGTTGGAGAGGAGCTGCTAGAGCTGATGTGTGAGAACCTCTTGTTCTCTTGAACCAGAACTGCCCCTGTAAGAATGCAGCGCAGAAAGAGATGCGAGAGAGAGTGAAGAAAGTATCTGAGAAGTTCAGGTGACACTGAGGTCTCAAACCCAGGCGGCTGTGACACCATCCACAGAAGTAGGGAGGTCAGAAGGCAGAGTTGGATATAGAACACAGCTGAGCAGGGCTATTTCAGACTGTTGAACTTGAAACTGGAAGTCATTCCAGTAGATGTGTGTAGAGATGGGCTGTCAGTTTAGAGCATTGGCTGTTCTTCTGAGAACTTGGGTTAGGTTCCCAGCACTCCCATGGCAGCTCACAACTGCCTGTAACTCCAGCTCTAGGGGAGCCAACACCCTCTTTTGGCCTCCTCAGGCGCCAGGCATACATGTGGTGCACAGACATACATGCAGACAAAACTCTCATACCCGTAGAATAAAAATTATATAAATTTTTAAAATGTTTTAAAAAGAAAGCAGTATTGTACAGGCAGTAGGATGTGTGTAGGTTGGGAGCTTAGGAGGACATCAGGAAACAGCTAATCTTTCTCTGCACACAGATTATGTTGACTAGAAAAACTCTAAATCAGAATGTGCCAAGAGCCTAGTCCTAGGTATTTGAAAGACTCCCAAAGTTAAGGAGAAGTGGAGCCAAGGAAGGGAATTGAAAGCCAGTAGAGTAACTGGGGTGTGGTCACTGTGTCCCGATGATGGTGCACTGCAGCCTAGCGTGTGCAAATCATAGGCTTGCTTGCTAGCACAGAAGAAAAAATAAAACAAATAGAAAAGATATGATTATCTTGAAACCAGGGGAGGAGAGGAAGGATAAAGAAATTGTGTTGATGGGAACTACAGAAGAATCAAGGAGAGACTAGATGTGGGCCCCGAGGAATGTCTGGGACTAATTGGGAAGGAAGCCATGTAAACAGTTAAAGTGTGCTGTGGGAAAGTGTGCCGTTGATCCTGCAGGGTAAAGGTGAATGTTAAACTATGTAACTATATTAATGCACTGTTTTTAAACATTGATTGTTTTGTAGATAAGATGGAACAAAATTTATCATCAAAAAATCTGAAACATGAACATTTCCAAAGTCTTAATTTTCCTCATACAAAAGAAATGATGAAGATTTTTCATAAGAAATTTGGCTTACATAATTTTAGAACTAATCAGCTAGAGGCGATCAATGCTGCACTGCTTGGTGAAGATTGTTTTATCCTAATGCCCACTGGTATGTATTTTTAGATATGAATTGGCAGGAGTCCATCGGCAGATGTTAAATGAAAACTCTTTAATGAAATAAAAAGAACACCTCCCATTATTCTTATTGTTTAGAAACTCTTTAAAACCTGCAAACCTCAGTAAAAAAGCCTGTCCCCTCAGCCTCTGTTCAGGTTGACACAAGGTTTCTACTCCTTAAGGAAGTGAACACACAGCTCATTGGGTTGACCTGATGGAGAGCTTTTCTTTGAACAATTTTCTTTATTCTAATCTAAACAAACCTAGAAGGGAGCAGAAGATGGGTATGAGAGCATGGCCATTTCTGGCTAGTGTTAGTGCTGCCTGTGGTTCTGACCATCCATTCTGGACTGAAGGCCCAGGCTTCCAGTGTCGCTCCACCCCCTGCCAGGGAGGGGTGTACCTGTGGACAGACGAGCCACTTGACTCTTTGTGGGTATGGTCAGGACAGTATGCGGTATAGTGCCCACTTCACAGGTAAGGCTCAAGTGAAAAGGATGCAGCGTGATTCTTTCTCAGCCTAAGTTTGGAAGAGACCAGGACTGTGCATTGTTGTAAACGCCTGTAAGAGCGGCTCAGTGTTTTGAAATCAAACACATAAGATGTTAGCTATGTGGTTAGGCTAGGAAGCAGGTTCGGTGTCTCCATGTAGACCTCTTGTGTGTTGCTTGCCTTGTTCCGGCTCTAGCAAGTCCCAGTGTTGCTGCTGCTATCACATGCTATTGACTTGACACCTGAATTCTTTCAAACCGCTTTAAATCTTTTTTCTTTAATTATCACGTAGCTGTAGATGTGATGTGGTTGGGAGAGCTATGTACAAGCCAAGGCATACATGTGAAGGTCAGAGGACAACCTCTCGCCTTGACATGTCCATGTGTGTGCCACGATGAAATTTGCTCACTGTGGAAAAGAAGGAATGTAGGATATAGGTTTAGAACACATTGAAGTCCTCAAAACTACCTCACCATTAGTAGAGGGTGAGATTGCAAACTAACTAGAATATAATCGTGCAGTTATTTTAAAATATGTTCTTGGGGGCTGGAGGCATAAGTCCATGGTAGAGTACTTGCCTGCCCTGCACAGAGCCCTGGGTTTGAGCCCCAGTGGGGCCAGGCAGAGAGAGAAATAAATATGCACTTAACATCTTGCTATTTTGTATTGGAGTAAATAGCAAAATTGTGTTAGATTTTCAAGTTCTCTTTTTCATTATCTTCTGTTAATATGCACACATGCAGTTTTGCCCTTTTATTTCAAAGGAAGATTGGGACTGTTACCTTAGAAATCAGAGTACCGGTAGTTAGAGCTGTATTAGAAGACTCTGCCTATGGGTTTTAAAATCCTGAGGTCTGTGCTGGGTATGTAACTCAGTGGGAAAGCTCTTGCCCAAGTGTGCAAGACCCCCAGCAGGGGTTGGGGTAGGGAGGTACGGCTGAGGGGTGTCTTAAGCCAAAATCTTTGTTTTTACTATTGTATATTTTACTGTATTATATAAAAAGCAATTATGTTAATCCTAGACTTAAGATTTTTTAGAGATGGCTTTTATTTCGAGAAGCAAAAAAAAGTTTATTCTATTTGGATTTCTCTGGTAGACTTTGTTACCAGTTCCTTGGTTCCAGGTTCTTGCCTTTACTGTTGCATGTGCCTACACAAGGTGTCCTGAAGAATCCGTCTCGTGTGTTATGGCAGATTGCTGGCCCCATCCCTGGACGATACCATTTGATTTCCTGTTAATTATTATATTTGGTCTCCTTTCTCCTTCACACTCAAGATGGAAGCTGACAGTTTTTTTCATTATTTGTCTTTTAGGAGGTGGTAAGAGCTTGTGCTACCAGCTGCCTGCCTGTGTTTCTCCTGGAGTCACTATTGTCATTTCTCCCTTGAGATCACTAATAGTAGATCAAGTCCAAAAGCTGACTTCCTTTGATGTAAGTTATTACTTAAAGTTTTAATGGAAATGTGCCTCAGAAACACATTTCAGGGTGCCAAGAAATCTTACTAACTGCTATTTGAATTACGAGAATAATTCTCAAATTATTCTGGATATATAGCTCTATGGCAGAGTGTTTGCCTAGCATATTGCAAAAAAAAATAAAATAAAAAATAAGATTAAATAAATGAAACATATAGTTAAATTAAGCTCTAGAGTTAAGCACATGTGTTAAATCATTTTGATTCAAATAACCATCTGTACTTCAATCTGATTTTATTCTTCTACGAGAATGTATTTCAGTGAGAGCTCTTAACCTATATTTTGCTGATGTAATTTTTTTACTGATAGAAAGGGGTTTCTTTTTTGGCTAGTGTGAGATCATCATAGTTCTCTATCCCTGTGCACATGTGTGTGCTTGTGCACCTGTTTTATTTTCCTCATTTCTGAACTGAAGGAATTATGTCTGCATTTTGTTAAGTTCTTCACATTGCAAAAGGATTGGTTACACTGTTGATGTTGGTTTGATTTTCCTTCCAGAGAATGTCAGTGCAGTGATGGTAACACTGCCCAGCATCAGCACACACTGAAACCTTGGAGATGCATCAGAACCTTTAAAGTAGCCAGACTAACCATGGTGATGCACACCTTTAATCCCAGCGCTTGGGAGGCAGAGCCAGGACCCTCTGTGTCAGTTAGAAGCAAACCTGGCCTTCTAGCAAGTTTCGGGCTAGCCAGGGTTATATTGAGACCCTGTCACACGGAGACACACATACACCATCCTCTTGTTTACAGATAGAAGAGATAAGGCAATATAGAAAATGAAAGGAACAGTGGGGAGTTTTTGCAGTTTTTCCTGAAATAGAAGCATCTTGCCATACCACAGGTTAGCTTCAGATTTGCTGTGGTGCGAAGGCTAGCCTTGGACTCTTTATCCTCTTTTCTCAGCCTCCCAAGTGCAGGGATCCCTCATGTGTGCCACCACACCTAGGTGGGAAGGCTATTTTGAGTTGTGTTTAATATGAATTTTTAAAAATATGTGTACTAGCTAAGTATGGCACACAACTATAATCTGCTCTTCAGAAACTGATGATGCAGGAGAATCACAAGTTTGAGTCTCAAAGTAAGATTCTGACTTTCAAAAAACAAACCTTAAAAATTGGTGCGCTGATTTGTTATGGTAAGCTATTTGTTTCTTTTAGCAGGTGTGATATGTGACTTATATAAAATCTAAAAACGTAATCATGTCTGAATAATATATAAATAAAATGAAATTCAAATTATTGCTTTCAACTTAGATTCCTGCTACATATCTGACAGGGGATAAGACTGACTCAGAAGCTGCAAATATTTACCTCCAGTTATCAAAAAAAGACCCAATTATCAAGCTCTTGTATGTCACACCAGAGAAGGTTTGTATCAGCCTCACTGTTTTCACAGTAACGTTACAACACACTAAAATACATCTGTGTTAAAGACTTGGTCATAACTTTTTATATACATTTCAAGAATTTCACCCCAGACCACAAATGGTAAAATTTTCTCCATCTCCTTTATGATTCATTCTTTCTCCAGTTTGTTCTGAACATTTGAGAGTGTGTTCAGGCCTACCGTTTCGACCCTAATGACTTGAGTGTGCGTCTCCTGACCATCTAGCTTCCCTTAGTGATTTCCTCAGGAAATGTGCAGCGGCTCATACTGTTCCTTACCCTGTTAACCTTACGGTAAGGACCTTTCTAAAAGAGAATTTTCTTTTCTCTAAACGGTTTTATGGGTTTGACAGTTTAGAAGCCTGTGGGCCAGTTTGGAAGACTGTACCTCAACTTGAGTTTGTCTTGTTTCTTGCTGATTAGATTCAGGGCTGTGGCAGATGTGGTGGCCTGTTCCCACAAGAGCTATCAGAAGACGCTGGTATTGACTCATCCGATTACCAGTGATGTTCGTTAACCAGTCACTTGATTAAAATAGTACTGCGGCTGTTTCTCCTTCGTACTTTTTTGTTCCCCTTGTATCTTTGGAGTTAGTAGAAACCCAGTGGTAGGAGTTCCCGGGACTGTAGAGCTACCCTGTCAGACAGCAGAGTCCCCAACAAGTTTTAATTTCCATTAATGATTCGTTCCCAGTTATTACTTTAATGAATGCCAAGTTCTGATTTTACTAATATAGCCCATCCTGGCATAATGAGAGTTAAGTGTTTATCAGTGTGAACTTGTGGATTGTTTATTTAGTAAGTTTCAATCAGTTACCACTATGTATTTTGATGTTCCAATTGCCTAGATTTGACGGTGAGGAAATGTCATCAACTTGGCTTGTGTCCTTTACATATGTCCCTGTCAAGACATGCTTGGGATGTCATTGCTTACAGACAAAGCTAGAGTGCAAGCATGTAACTCTCTATATGTGTAATACATAGAGTTTCCCCAAATAGCACACACATACCAAACACACATCTCAAATACTGTTATCAAGCTGGCAGGGTGGCCCAGTGGGTAAGTGTGCTGGCCGTATAATCCAATGACTTGAGTTTGATCTTGGGGACCTACATGATGGAACCAAACACATTAAGTCTTCTGACCTACACACATGTACACGCACCCACTCCACACATGCACACACATAAAATAAATAAGTGTAAAAAAATTAAGTTCCATTACCAAAGTAAATAAATATATAGTTACCTTCAGATACGCTGAGGCAGACAAAAGTTTGAGCCACTAACCTGTAAGTAAAACTGTTGAATGTGAGTAAGCATACTAAAATGTCCCCTTTGCTATTTACTTCTGTTCTCTTCATAGATAAGGGCTAGTTTAATAGGGTGTGCTTGTATGGTGGTGACAGTGTCATTCAGATGCGCATTCAGAACTCTCCCATGTCTCTGATCCAGGTCTGTGCAAGTAACAGGCTGATTTCCACTCTGGAGAATCTGTATGAGCAGAAGCGTCGGGGGCGGGGCTGGAGACAGCGCCTGCTCCTGGGAAAGAGGCTCAGTGGTGACAGAGGGCGCACGGTGGTGCGGGAGGGCGGGGCTGGAGCGAGGGCGGGGCTGGGCGACGTCACCTTGTGTCTGTGGGCGGGGCCGGGGATGGTGGGGCCGGCCTCCTGGGAACAAGGCTCAGCGATGACATAGCGCAAACAGCGGTGCGGGAGGGCGGGGCTGGGCGACGTAACTTTGCGTCGGTGGGCGGGGCCGGGGACGGGCCTGGGTCCTGGGAACGAGGCTGAGCGATGACGTAGCGCGAACGGTGGTGCGGGAGGGCGGGGCTGGGGGGAGGGCGGGGCTGGGCGACGTCACCTTGCGTCGGTGGGCGGGGCCGGGCTCCCGGGAACGAGGCTCAGGGATGACATAGCGCGAACCACAGTGCGGGGTCGGCTGCGCCTGCATAAAGGAGCCCAGATGGTGGCGCGGATCGTTGATGGTTTTTTATTTTATTTTTATTTAATTTAACTTTTATTGATTGATTTATTGATTTTGGTTTTCCGAGACAGGGTTTCCCTGCCCGCCCCGGAAGGAAGGAAGGCCGGTTTGAACCGGTCCCAACCCTCAATAACGACGTCGGATCCTAGGACGAGGGGGGAAAAAATAAAATAAAATAAATAAATGCGATTTTTATAAAACGTCAGGGTTCTTGCTCGTGATTTCTTTCGCTGTGAATTGCCTTGGGGAGGAAAAAAATGAAAATAAAACCGGTGGGTAAAAACAAAAAAAATGTGAACGTAGAAATTAAATTTGTAATAAAATAAGGATAATTAATAATAAAAAAATCATTGAATTTGTAATGAAATCATTGACGATAAAAAGAAATCATTATGTGATAAAAATTAAATTTATAATGATCACCGTCGTAGATGAAAGTATGGGATAAAAATTAATAAGAATGCCAATGGAGTCCTTAGTTGAAGTAGAAATGACCAAAAATAAAGTGATATAAAATTGATTATCAATGAATTATTAATTATTATCATTAATTATTATTAAAAATAAGATGAATTATTAATTATTATTAAAAATAAGAAACCGATAAACTGTGTTCAATTTGGGGGGGAAATCTCAGGGCGAACAGAGATGTCTTTGTGTTATTTTTATCATTATTATTTTATTTTTATTATTATTATTTATTACTTCTGTTTTATTTTAGGCCGAGTCTTCAGGGAACTCGGAAATCTTATGAGCTTATTTTTTATTTATTTATTTATTTATTTATTTATTTATTTATTATTCATTCATTTCCAGGAGTTTATTTCAAAGGAAAAAAATTTGCACATTACCGTAAAAAAAATAAAATAAAATCTAAAGTATGCATTATCATATTTATTTACTTTTTATTTTATTTTTCTTTTTTCCATTATCATATTTATTTTTTTTCTTTTTTTATTTTCAAATTTATTTATTTATTTTTTGTTTTTTATTATCATATTTATTTATTTTATTTTTCTTTCTTTCCATTATCATATTTATGTTTTTCGTTTTTTCTTTTTTATTATCATATTTATTTATTTATTTTTTCTTTTTTTCCATTATCATATTTATTTTTTCGTTTTTTTCTCTTTTTTTATTATCATATTTATTTATTTTTTCTTTTTTTATTTTATTTATTTATTTATTTATTTTTCGTTTTTTTATTATCATATTTATATGTATATATATCTATCTCTATATATATAGAGATAGGGCCTTTTCTCGATTTTCCCCACTTTACCGAGGTCCCGAAGAACAGGGCCAGGGGCGTGGGTCTGCGTGGTCGAGGAGACAGATTACAGTTCCAAAATCAAGGATAGAATGATTTTTTTTAAAATATTTTTTATTTATTAGGCATACAATACTCTAATTTTATATTTATCTATTATGTATACAATATTCTAATTTTATATTTATCTATTATGTACACAATATTCTAATTTTTATATTTATTTATTATGTACACAATACTCTAATTTTTATATTTATTATGTACACAATATTCAAATTTTATATTTACTTATGTATACAATATTCTGTGTGTATGCCCTCACGCCAGCAGAGGGCACCAGACCCCATTACAGACGGCTCTGAGCCACCATGGGGTGGCCGGGACTCGAACTCGGGACTTCGGAAGAGCAGGCCGCGCCCTAACTGCTGAGCCGCCTCCCCAGCCCAGGATATGCTGATTTTATGCCATTCGATCATAGTTCTCCAAAAAAAGAAACAGCCTCGATCCATTCTGAAAATAAACAGGAAGCAGACTGGTTTTGTTTATTTTAATTTTCTATTTATTTTTATTTTTTTTAATTTTTATTATTTTTTTTTTAATTTTTTTATTTGGTTTTTTTAAAATTTTTTATTTATTTTTATTTTTTTAATTTTTATTATTTTTTTTAATTTGGTTTTTTTAAATTTTTTTATTTATTTTTATTTTTAATTTTTCTTATTTTTTATTTTTATTTTTTTAATTTTTCTTATTTTTTATTTTTATTATTATTTTTTTAATTTTTATTTTTTTTTCAGACTGTTTTATTTATTTATTTTTTTGTCACTCTTGTGGAGGTGTCCACAAGGAGAGGTGGCGGAGACACGGAAGATCGGGGACGGACTAAGGGTCGATGGATCGTTCGTTTTAAAAAAAATGGGTTTTTTTTTCTTTATGTCGATGTCACATCGTTAAAAAATAAAAATGACCACACCAGTGTGATCCTGTTTCTAAGCGGTCTACACTGGTTTGATCCAGTTTTAACCAGTTTGATCCGGTTTAGAAGCTTTCTACACTGGTTTGATCCAGTCTGAACCAGTTTGATCCGGTTTTGAAGCGGTCTACACTGATTTGATCCAGTTTGATCCCGTCTGATCCAGTTTGATCCAGTTTTGAACCTGTCTACACTGGTCTGATCCAGTTTGAACCAGTTTGATCGTGTCTGATCCAGTTTGATCCGGTTTAGAAGCGGTCTACAGTGGTTTGATCCAATTTGAGTCAGTTTGACCCAGTCTGAACCAGTTTGATCTGGTCTAGAAGCGGTATACACTGGTTTGATCCAGTTTAAACCAGTTTGATCTGGTCTGATCCAGTTTTGAACCTGTCCACAGTGGTTTGACCCAGTCTGATTCGGTTTGATCCGGTTTAGAAGCGGTCTACAGTGGTTTGATCCAGTTTGAATCAGTTTGACGCAGTCTGAACCAGTTTGATCTGGTCTAGAAGCAGTCTACACTGGTTTGATCCAGTTTAAACCAGTTTGATCTAGTCTGATCTAGTTTTGAACCTCTCTACACTGGTTTGATCCAGTCTGAACCAGTTTGATCCCGTCTGGTCCAGTTTGATCCAGTTTTGAACCTGTCCACAATGGTTTGACCCAGTCTGAACCAGTTTGATCCGGTTTAGAAGCGGTCCACACTGGTTTGATCCAGTTTGAATCAGTTTAATCAGGTCTGATCCAGTTTGATACAGTTTTGAAGCGGTCTACACTGGTTTGATCCAGTTTCAACCAGTGTGATCCGGTCTGATCCAGTTTGATCCAGTGTGGACAGGTTCAAAACCGATCAAACCAGATCAGACCAGATCAAACTGGTTTAAACTGGATCAAACCAGTGTAGACGGCTTCAAAACTGGATCAAACTGGATCAAACCAGTGTAGACCGCTTCCAAACTGGTTCAAACCAGATGAAACTGGATCAGATCAGTGTAGACCACTTCCAAACCGGATCCAAGTGGATCAAACCAGTGTAGACCGCTTCCAAACAGGACGGTTCTTCGGTCGCCGATAAACTCTAATTTTCTCTGAGGTGCCGTGGATAAAACAGGAGACGGGAAGCGCGGGTTCGAGTCCCGGCCACTGCAGGCGTACAGGTATCCAGAATAAATAAATATAAAAATTATGATATTATATAAATAATGAATAAATAAATAAATAAAAATTATGATATTGTATCCATCATAAATAAATATAAAAATTAGAATATTGTATACATAATAAATAAATATAAAATTAGAAAATTGTATACATAATAAATAAATATAAAAATTAGAATATTGTGTACATGATACATAAATAAATAAAAATTATGAAATTGTATGCATAATAAATGAATAAAAAATTAGAATATTGTATTCATGATAAAAAATATAAAATTAGAATATTGCATACATAATAAATAAATACAAAAAACAGAATATTGTATATGTAATGAATAAATATGAAAAATTAGAATATTGTACACATGATAAATAAATATAAAGATTAGAATGTTGTATACATGATAAATAAATATAAAAATTACAGAATATTGTATATGTAATGAATAAATATAAAAATTAGAATATTGTATACATGATAAATAAATAAATAAATATAAAAAACAGAATATTGTATAAACAATAAATAAATAAAATTATAATATTGGATACATAATAAATGAATGTAAAAATTAGAATATTGTATATATGATACATCAATAAATAAAAACTATGATATTGTATGCATAAAAAATGAATATGAAAATCAGAAACTGTATCCATGATAAATAAAAAAATATAAAATTAGACTCCCGGGGTCACGGGGTCGGGGTTCACAGGTCACGCCCCCCCCCCCCCCCCCCCCCCCCCCCCCCGAGGGACAAGATGGCGTCTGCGGCCTCGCGAAAATCACGCCCCCCCAAGGACAAGATGGAGGACGAGGACTCCCGGGGTCACGGGGCCGGGGTTCACAGGTCACGCCCCCCCCAGGGACAAGATGGAGGACGAGGACTCCCGGGGTCATGGGGTTGATGTTCACAGGTCACGTCCCCCAGGGACAAGATGGAGGACTAGGACTCCCGGGGTCACGGGGTCGGGGTTCACAGGTCACCCCACCCAGGGACAAGATGGAGGACGAGGACTCCCGGGGTCACGGGGTCGGGGTTCACAGGTCACGCCCCCCCCAGGGACAAGATGGAGGACGAGGACTCCCGGGGTCATGGGGTCGATGTTCACAGGTCACGTCCCCCAGGGACAAGATGGAGGACTAGGACTCCCGGGGTCACGGG